GCTCCTCCCTGGCCTGGGCCCTGGCAGGGGCACATGCAGGAGGCAACCAATTCATGTGTTTCTCTCACATTGATATTGTGCTCTGTCTTTCCCTCTCTCTTCCACTAAAAATCAATGGAAAAACATCCTTGGGTGAGGGAGAAAAAAGAGGCAAGGAAAACACGTCTGGGAGAAGGGGGTGAGGAAAAGTTCTGGCAGCTGCATAGAGACTGCACTGGGGCTTCAGTCCTGAAAGCTTTTATATGGAAGTCTCAGGGGGAAATCTCAATAGCATCTTCACCTGGTTCCCAAGTGTGTCTCAAGGTCAAGATCTCCGCTAATTGGTCAGCACCAGCCCGGAGGGGCATTAGTCATGGCAGCTGGTTCTGATGTCAGCCACGTCATTGCCCTGCCTGGCCTGGCTGCTTCTTAGGAGCTGAAATCCCGCTGGGGCTAGAAGTCATCTACAAGGGTTAATGCTTAAAGCAGTGGTTGTGCAGGGGCTTGTAGCTTTGCCCATTGCTGGGCACCTGGTGCTCTTGGTGGTGGCGACCCTCTGCAGGTGGCTTGTCTTCCTATTCCGCTCAGGCCCAACTGCCCACTACAATTCACTGTGAAAGCCCTGCTGCTCAGGCTCAGCCCCTATTTGGGGGCATGGCCACCGTCAAACTCTCCCAGTGGTTGATACAGTCCAGCCCCGACTCCCAAACCGCCTTCTCGGACCTGGACCCCTCAAAACCTTCCTGCATATCGGCGTCCAGCCCTGAGTGCGTCTCCCCCGCAGTGTCCTTGTCATCCTGACGTGAAGCTGGAGGCTTCAGATGTGAGGCTGGCACAGTCTCCCAGTTGGCAGTCGGGAGGCCTCTTCCCAGCTGGGAGTATTCAGATGTGACGGCAGCCAACCAGAGACATGGCTGGAACCCACCCCGCCAGCTGCTCTGAAGCTGGCAGTGGAGGAACCCACGGAGAACTGACCTTTACATTTTGCTGATAGGAGTTGGGACACCTATTAATATATAGGATTAGTCCATTCACTTTGGGAAGTCATATACAAGGACTTTTATATGTTGGGACCCACTGCCTGGGAAAAGGACGTAGGGATGTTCCTCTAAAGATTAGCGTAGTTCCCTCTGGCAATGTCTGTTCTAGTTACTGTCTTTCAGTAGCTAATAACTACAATATGAATGTTCTGATAATTTCACCTTCCTTTATGGTAGTGGCCATACTGAGCTGCTGGCTGGTTAGTTTCTGATATGTGGGGTAACTCCTGCCAACAGCACCGGGGCCCTGTTCCTTAGGATGACTGACTGTCTTTATGCCCCAGAAACATTACAGGGTCTGAACCAAAAGAGACGACCTCAAGCCCGTGGCCCTGGACCGCAATGACGACCTCCACCTGTGGAGCCTGCTGCATACATTGCTTTGACCATTTTTGTTAGGCTGCTAAGGGCAGGCTCCCTTAATGCAGAAGTGACCCGGCTGGCTTGTAGCTCAGTAAGAGCCCTGAACGCCACCTCCAGGGCTATACCTGGGATAAAGCAAGAGCTGGGCCAGGCCAGGGAGGCAGTTCTAGAGAATCGGGCAGCGACAGATTACTTGCTGTGGCAGCATAACCATGGCTGTGAGGAATTTAAAGGAATGTGCTCTTTTAATCTTTCTGACAATTCTCAGTTGAAAAACATATACTCAAGATCCTGCATGTGGTATGTTCCATCCCTGGGAACTGCACAGATGCTGTCCAGCAGGATGGGACTTTTCATCTAAAACTAATCTCACAGATGTGAGATGATAGAAATAGCTGTGGGGAAATGATAGGGGCAAGCATGGAATATTGGGACTAGCTATGGTTATGGGAAATATTAATCATGCTCTGTTAACCATGATTGCCTTGTGTTGGTTAAAGGACATTCTGACCTGGCTGGGAGTTCTACGCCCCCGGGACCTGGGAGTCAACCTTGGAACCATTCTCATTCGGGAACTGCCTATTAGCATGGAAAGATTAACAGCCTTGTTGCTCAAACAGTGGAGTCCCACCCCAGCCTCCTACTTCCTCATGCCTGTAGTCCCTGCTTCCCCATGTAATCCTTATCCAATCTTGTACAAGCAGCTGGCTTATGGGAGGCTGCAGAGCAGATTTTTGTGGATGACCTGTTGCTCTCCCATACTGCCAGCAGTATTGGAATACTCATATATGATTTTAAAAAAAAGATGTGGTGGCAGCCTGGGCCAAACCAGTCCCTAGGCCAGGCTCTGATCCACACTGGGCCGAGCCTTCCCATTCACACACACTAAACAGGCCAGGGAGATCCTGAGAGCACACCAGGTCCCTCCCCAGGGATCCTGCCTCAGCCTCTGCACCTCAGGGAGTCACCCCCACTCCAGTGAGTCAGGCACACACCTAGCACCGCCTCCCCTGCCTCCCAGTCCACACCCAGAATAGGGCAAGCCTGTCTCATCTCATCCCACTGCCACCCACAGCCAGCCCCTCAGGGTCTCCGTACCACCCCCAGCACCAAACCCCCCAGCAACTCAAAGGCAAACTTGAATGGCAGCCTCAGACTTAGAAACGAAGTGGACAGGCAGATGCCAGGGCTGGGGGAGGGGGAATTTGGGTTAGTGTTTAATGGGTGCAATTTCCGTTTGGGGTGATGAAAATGTTCTGGAGATGGTGGTGATGATTGCACAACAATGTGAATGTATTTAATGCCAACAACCTGTATACTTAAAAAAAAAAAAAATGCCCTAGCTGGTTTGTCTCAGTGGATAGAGCGTTGGCCTGTGGACTGCAGGGTCCTGGGTGCGATTCCAGTCAAGGGCACATATCTTGGTTGCAGGCTCAGTCCCCAGTAGGGGGCATGCAGAAGGCAGCCGATCAATGATTCTCTCTCATCATTGATGTTTCTCTCTTTCTCTCTCTCCCCCCACCTCCCTTCCTCTCTGAAATCAATTAAAAAAAATATATTTTTTAAAATGGTGATTGTTACATGTATTTTACCACAATTAAAAAAAAAAAAAAAAGATACTCCAGCCACTGCCTCTACACTTCAAACAACATCAGAACTCTCCCTGCAGCTGCGGGGCCCAGCTCCAGCCCCAGCGGCCATTAGTTCTGTTCCTCCAACACACTAGGCCAGGGGTGGGCAAACTTTTTGACTCGAGGGCCACAATGGCTTCTTAAACTGGACTATTTAATGCCAACAACCTGTATACTTAAAAAAAAAAAAAATGCCCTAGCTGGTTTGTCTCAGTGGATAGAGCGTTGGCCTGTGGACTGAAGGGTCCTGGGTGCGATTCCAGTCAAGGGCACATATCTTGGTTGTAGGCCCTAGTCTGGGTGCATGCAGGAGGCAACCAATCAATGTGCCTCTCTAACATTGATGTTTCTCTCTCTCTCTTCTCCTGCCCCTCTCTCTA